CTTTCTGTTACACCACAAAGCCTTTCCCTAAACTGCGGCTGCCCTCAAGGTCACTTGGAGGAGTTATGTGTGATAGTGGAGATGGAAGGGGCTGGTCCTCCCCTATCCCCTGCCCTGAAGTCTTGGGGTTGGAATAGCCAGTCTGGTCCACAGCTGACCCAGATCTGGGATAGACTATGAGTCAAACTTCCAGTGGACACCTGTACTTGTACACATGTTCCTGAACACCCTGGGACACAGCCCCACAGCCTTTTCAGGGCTTAGGACTCAACTCTATTTTCATGTCCTTGACTGCCCCGCTAAAGCAGAAGTCCTCTGTCACTCACAGTCATTATCTATGTGACCTTTCTCAGTTTCTGAAATGATCTCACGAACTCCCTGGTCCCAAGAACACAGTCCCCAGGGTAGGAGCTCATCCACAGTTGTAACTTTGTAACAGTGGTGCTTATGAGCTCCTTTGTTGGTTCAGACATCTTCAAAGCCACCCTGCAGAGGGTTTCTGAGTCTGTAAATTTTCACAGGAGCAGAAAGTCTCATCTTTTTCCTCGAAGAGCAGCAGATGGATTCAAACTGCTGACCTTGTGTTTAGCATCCCAACATGTATTCCACAACCCAACCAAGGTTCCTTTCATCCACAGTTGTTGTTGTTGTTGTTAAAGTGTTGTTGAGTTGGTTCTGACTCATAGCGACCCTGTAGAGGGTTTCTGAGAGTGGCTGGTGGGTTTGAACTGTCGAACTTGTAGTTACCAGTCCAGTGCTTATTCTACAGTGCCACACCAGGGTAGTGTATGGGATAATCCACAGTAGACCCCAGTCCTAAAAATGAATACATACTTATTGGCTGGATCACATATCTGGTAGCATATTAGATACATTTATTGTCTCACAGCTCTGGAGACCAGGCGTCTGAAATCAGGGACTCTGTCAGGTAACATTGCTTCTGAAAACTCTTGAGGGGGAATCTGTTCCATGCCTCTCTGCTAGTTTCTGGTGATGCCCAGTGTCCTTGACCTTCCTACGCTTGTAAATTGCTACAGTCTCTCTACCTTTGTCTCACGTGGTCTCCTGTGTCTGTGTTTCTCCTCCTCCTTTATCAGAATACCAGCCATATAGGGTCAGAACGCAGTCTACTTCAGAATGATCCCATATTCATTGATAGCATTTTCAAAGACCCTGTTTCCAAACAAGGTCACATTCACAGTACAGGGGATTAAGAATTGAATTTAGCTTTTTAGGGACACAATTCAGTCCAGACATCGACTGAGAAGGAACAGTGTATGCAATGGGAAAATAACTTGAGTGAGCTTGGGATCCTGGAAGCCAGGCTGAAAGTGTGTAGGAGGGTCTAATGCAACTGAGGAGGACTAAGAAATATCAGATTTGGCAAAGTGAAGTCATCAGGGACCTAATGAATTTCAGGTGAATGGGGAGAGCGAAAACCTGACTGCAGCAGGTTGAGAGAGGACAAGAAGAGAGGAATTGAGGACAGCAAGTACAGACGACTTCCTTCAAGCAGTATTGTTGGTAAAGGGAACAGAAAAGTACAGCAGTAGCTGGAGAGAAAGGGGACAAAAGAGTTGTGTGTTGTTTGTGTTTTTTCCCTTAGATGTAAAAATCTTAATTGCTTTTCTAATTTAAATTTTACTCAATTTGATTGGTAATATGTTCCCATGATTCCAAACATCAAAGATTCCAAAGGGTATTTTGATAAAATTCTCCCTCCCTGCCCTCCCCACTCAGTTCCTCTCCCTGGAGACTACAGATATGGAATGAGTTGCTCTAGATCCTCCCAGAGCTATTTTATGAATTAACCAGCATGTGTATGTATGTGGGTGTCATCAGCATCATTGTTAGCTGCTGTCAAGTTGACTTTGACGCATTACAACTTTCTGCACAACAGAGTGAAACATTACTCAGTCCTTGTCATCCTCAGAATCACCAGCATGTTCAAGTTCATCATTTTGGTTTTTGGGCCAATCCATGTCACCAAAGGCCTCCTCCTACATCCTCATTGACCTTCAATGTCACCAAAAAGGATACCTCCTTTAGCAATGGATTCCTCCTGATGTCCAAAGCATGTATGTCACATGTGCTGTTGTGATCTATAAGGTTCTCATTGGCTAGTTTTCGTAAGTAGGATGGCCACTAGGCCTTTTTCCCTTGTCTAGCTTAGTCAAGAGGTTCAGCTGAAACCTTCTTCTATGAATGGCTCTGCTGGTATTTGAAATACTGGGACCATAGCTTCCAGCAGAGCCCTGGTATGGTACTGTGGGATAAGCACTGGACTGGTAACCTCAAGGTCAGCAATTCAAACTCGAGCTGCTCATGGAAATCCTATACAGGGTTGTTATGAGTCAGAACCGACTTCGTGGTACAAAACAAACAAACAAACAAACAAACAAACAAACAAACAAACAAACAAACAAACCAAGTTGCTAGCATCACAGTAACACGCAACTCACCACAGTATGACAAACTGTCAGACAAGTGGTAGAGAGATATGTATCTATATATTCCATTTTTTTATACAAATTCCATACATGCTACTTACTCTGCACCTTTTACTTTTACACTTCACAATATATCCTGAGCATCATTCTATATCAATATACAAAGTATCCTCATTCTTTTTTATGCTTCATAGTATTGCATTATGGGATAAGCCTTTTTTTCCTCTCAGCCAGTCCTCTACTGCTGGACAATCATTTGCCATTGGTTCTGTTAATATCTCCATCCTACAGAGAGGTCCTGTGGCTAAACCAAGGACACACAGCAAATGAATGGTGGCACGGAACTCCATACCTCTGGCCCACTCCTTTCCTCCCCTCCTCCTTCTGCCTTGATTGGTTCCCAATCTTCTTTCTCTCTTAGTCCTACACCCTCGGGAATTATGCGGCCCTTTCATTCAACCACACAACACCTATTCACAAGTTCTGACCATGTGCCAGGCACTGGCCTAGACCCAGAGAAAAGGGAGGGAATTGGACACAGAAGTTCTCAGCCATCACAGGCCTTCCAGGCTGAGTCGTTTGCGTGTTTTCACAAGCCGCCTCAAATCTTCCGTGGGAGAAGTTGGAGAATACACAAAGAGGACCGGGCCGGGTTTTTACCAATGAGGAAACCAAATGTGCCAACAAATCATTGTTGTAATCCTGTGAACAGCAGAGCATAAATGAAGCCTGGGAACCCAAACAGTGACCAGGCACTGCTGCCCCCACCCCAGTCTGGCCCTTCGCCAGTTTCCCATCACAGTGAAAGTGGCCAAAGCTCTCAGGCCACCAGTTCCCTGGCTGAGACCAACAACTAGATTCCCCATTCCCCTAGTAGCTCTGGACTCCACCCAACTTTACGCTTTCCAAGCCACCAGTCTTGTTCAGACCTTCACTGACTTGGGGGTGGGGTGCATAATGACCTCCTCCTCCCAGCGCTTCCTGTCTTTAATCCAGTCCCTCCCATTACTCTGCATCCAGCTGATGTGTCAGCATGTCATCTCTTTGTTCTAACCCTCTAGGCTTCCCACTGAAGCCCTCAGGATAATGTCATGGTATCACAGCCCAGCGTTTAGGATTATGGGCTCTGAACCCTGAATCCCAGCTCTGCCATTTATTCACTGAACCCACTTGTTTTGCCTTTGATTCCTGTCCTTTAAAATGGTCCGTCTCTCATATGGTTGGTACAAGAATGAAGTGAATTCTTATATGTTGTTGTTGTTGTTGTCAGGTGCCATCGAGTCGGAACCTACTCATAGCGACCCCATGCACAGCAGAACGAAACAATGTCCGATCCTGGGTCAACCTCACTACTGCTGCCACACTTGACTCCATCAGTGATGCCACCTGGCTGATCCATCTCATTGGGGGTCTTCCTCTTTTTCTCTGACCCTCCATCTTACCCAACATGACATCCTTCTCCAGCGACTGTTCCCTCCTTACAATATGTCCAAAGTATGAGAGACAAAGTTTAGCCATCTTGGTCTCCAAGGAACACTCTGGCTGCACTTCTTCCAAAACTGATCTATTGGTTCTTTTGGCAGTCCATGGCACTTTCAGTATTCTCCTCCAACACCACAACTCAAAGGCATCAATTCTTCTACGATCTTCCTTATTCACTAGGTCTTTTAATAAGAGCTCCGTAAAATATTGTTGTTGTTGTTGTTAACTGCTGAGTTGTTCTGACTCACAGCAATTCTGCATAGGGTTTCTGAGCGGAGCAGCTGGTGGGTTTAAACCACCATCCTTTCTGTTAGCAGTCCAGTGCTTATTCTATAGTACTGCACCAGAACTCTCAGTAAATATTGTTGTTGTTAAGTACCGTGGAGTCGGTTCCGACCCATAGCGACCCTGTCTGTACAGGGTTTCTGAGGCTGTAAATCTTTACCGGAACAGAAAGCCTCCTCTTTCTCCGGAGGAACGGCTTATAGTTTTGAACTGCTGACCTTGAAGTTAGAAGCCCGACTGGTAGCCACTATGCTAACATTATAATCATCCCAGAAAGATCCTTTGTGACTGTTTCCAATCAATTCTACCAGTGCTCCGAGTAATACAAGACTTTAAGCACATGACGTTTCATTCAGAAAGATCAGTGGTTGCAGTGCTGAAGATGGTTTGAGATTAGCCTGCAGGGTGTGGTACAGAAGAAGGAGATGGTGGGATCTGGAGTATACGCAGGTTGCCTAGCAACCAGAAAGCTTGGTCTTGAAGATTGACCGCTTCGGGTCCGCTAAGAGGAGAATCTGCCCTGCCCACGCCCACTCATAGTCCCCGCCCAGCTCACGCTGCTTGTAGGTGGTCCCGCCCTACGTAAGGGGCGGGCAGAAACTTCCTATTGGTCCGCTCTCCGGAAGCGACAGGATTCGGATTCTAGACCGACGGGTGTTGAGCGTGGGACACTGGTGAGTGTCTGCAAAGCGTATCTGGCGCGCGGGAACTAGGCTGGGACCATGTGTCTGGGGTGCACTCCGGGCACTGGCTGGGACCTCCTAGCTCGGCCTGTTTCTTCCCGTTGTAGTAGTGGGGCATGGCCCACTCGGGAGCCCCCCAAGACCCTCGCGCCCAGCCCCAGCCCCGGCCTGGGTGGGGTGTCTCAGCAATTGGACCGCATGGGGTGGGCTCGGGGACTCCCACCGGCCCCAGGCTCCGTCGCGTGACCGACCCTCTCATTCCCAAAGCCCCCAGCACAGGCCGGGATGTTCGTGCTGGTGGAGATGGTGGACACTGTGCGAATCCCCCCGTGGCAGTTTGAGAGGAAACTCAACGACTCCATCGCCGAGGAGCTGAACAAGAAGTTGGCCAACAAGGTACCCACGGGGTCGCAGGCCAACGTTGGTACCGAAGGCCCGGTGGTACCGAGGGCCCGGCGTAGGCCTGAGCTTGGCTTTGCCAAACCTTGATCTTGCAAGGAACATAAAACGCCTCAGAAGTGTTTCTTCATCAGTAAAAGGGATGGAGGTAATCCCTAGTACACGCAGGCTCATTGCTTTCGAGTGGATTCCGATTCATAGCGACCCAATAGGATGGAATATGAGGGGGCTTCACAATTTGATGGACACATAACATTTTCTTTCAGTTCCATTTGTTCACTAACTTTTAGAAGCCCCTTAGTAGAACTGCCACATAGAGTTTCCAAGGCTGTAAATTCATATGGAAGCAGACTGCCTGGTCTTCTCCCACTCAGCGGCTGGTAGTAGTAGCTGAGCATTTAACCACTGTACCACTTGGGCTCCTTCCAGGGGGGGATCAGAGGTGAACATGGGTCTGAAAAAGGACTTGGTAACTAGACTTTGTAACAGCCAGATGATTAGCTTCCAAGTTACTTTGTAACATTAGACAAGTCACTTACCCTCTCCGGGCCTCCCATATCCAGTTTTAAGATGGAGACTGTTAATTGCTGCCTTACAGGTTGCTTTTGTGAAGATCAGATCAGGGTTTAGGCATTAATTTCTGCAACAAGTACCCGACTGTCTTTCCAGGGCCAACTCAGAGACTTCCTGGAGCCTTGTGAGCTTGCTCTCCCTCATCAGTTATTCTCTGTTGTATCACCCACTCGGAAGCACTTAGCACTTACCGTTACTTTCTTGTATGTTTGTTTACTTGATGGCTTATTTTTTCTTTGTTACTGAATGAGAGCAGGGACCACTCCAGTATCCCTATAGTAGGTATTCTAATATCCTAATAGAGACTCTATACCTGTTGATTGAACGAATGAAACAGACAAGCTTCTGCCCTGTAGTCTGGTGGGAGAAGCAGACATAAACGAAGGGTGTGGTGCTGTTGGACAAGCACTGGACTGCGAACCACTAGCTGCTCCTTGGAAACCCTGTACAGGGTCGCTACGAGGAGTTGGGATCAACTCGATGGCACGTAACAATAAGAACCATTGAGTGTGCAATGACGTGAGGCTGAATGACAGTAAGAACACGTGTGTCTGCAAGTCCATGGGATGAAGGGACTTCAGCTGGACTTGGGGACACGTGGCTTGTTGGGGAGGTGGTGCTTGAGCTGAGATATGGTGCAGAGGTAGCTACCTGGGAGATTTGTTTCTGGGAGATAAGAGCTGAACGGATAGAGGGAAGGAATATAGACAGTCCCAGTCTGGGCATGGAGGAGGCTGGTGTGGCTTAGGCAGAGGAATCCAGGGGAAGGGAAGCTGGAGAGGTGGGCAGAGCCATGTATGCAGGTGAGAGGGGATACGATGAAAAGAAGCCAGAATTGGCTAGCTTTAGACAGAAGACCAAGATCACTGCATGGATGGTGCGGTGGTGGGGAGAACTCATGGAAGCTTTAGTGGATGAGAGGTAGAATGTGAGGGAGCCTCTGGGGGGTGAGTTCCAGGAGGAAATATAATCCCTTTGGGGCATGGGTCCTTCAACACATTGCTGAGGGGCAAGACAAGTTCCTTTGGATTTGAGTCATTTGAGAGAAGGCTGCCCAGAAGAGGTTCTGTGGCTCTGTCAGCCAACCAGATGCCATGACCTCAAGATCGCGTGGTCTGATCACGATGCTAAGTCTCTGAGGCGCTTGCTGATCCTGGAACAGGCCTGCCGACTCTGATTAAGGAACCACAACGCCGGTGGCAGAGGAGCAGACGCTGATCCGAGCTCAGCGGGTCTGAAAGGGGATGTGGGGTGCCTGGTCTTCACCCTGTTGTCTGCCAATGTCAGGGCCTAGGTCCTATGTCACCTGGCCAGCTTTCCGCCTCGTGGTTGCTTCTGTGTGTGAGGCCCTGTGGGCGGCTGCAGTTGTGACAGCACTGAGCCGTGAGCCTCTAGGATGGACTTTGAGACCTGGTGCAGGTTTACTCAGGGACCACCACCACCACCGCCGCCCCTCACTGCCATGAGTAGTAACAATTCTCCTTGATTAGTGATTATTGTTTGCAACGTGGTGTGTGAGGCACTAAGCCAGTATTTAACAGCCTGCAGCCTGTGATTGTTAAGCATTGACTTACTGACTGAAAGGTCAGCGATTCAAACCCACCAGCTGCTCAGCAGGAGAAAGACAAGGCAGTCTGCTTCCCAAAAGATTTACAGCCTCGGAGACCCCGTGGAGCGGCTCTTCTCAGGTCCTGTGGGTTGCTATGAGTGGAATCGACTCAGTGGCAGTGATGGTAGCCCGGTATTTCCTTTCTTGCAGTTGGGGAAACTGAGGCTCAGTGAGGTTAAAGTGACCCCATGAAGGTCACACAGTGAGGGTGGAGCTGGAATTGTAAGATGTCTGAGCAGAGTAAGAGACAGACACAAATCCACGCCCGTGGGCTACCTCAGCAGCCGCCGCAATGCATTGTCTGTAAGACCAAGACTTAGACCTGCCTGTGGTGTGAGGGTCTCCGCGACATGGCTCGGACAGCTGGGTCACTGGGGCGGTGTGTGGATGTACACGTGTGTGTAGGTCGTGTACTGCGAATATGCACGTGTACATATGTGGGCACATGCCTTTACACGTGTGTACACATATCCATGCAGGTCGTGTACAACGTGGGACTCTGTATCTGTCTGTTTGACATCACCAAACTGGAGGATGCGTATGTGTTCCCAGGGGATGGTGCCTCACACACCAAAGGTGGGTACCTACTCTTCCTGGGGCAGTGGATTTCTTGGGGCTTGGTTTTCTGTAGTAAGAAATCACAAGCATGGTGGGGGCCCTGGGCTGGGGGTCAGAAGACCCTGTGGTCTAGTCTTAACTGTCAGGAACTTACTGGGTGGTTATGTTCAGAATTGGCTGATGGGACCTTAGTTTCCTGACCTGTGGGACTTGTGAGCGTGTTCTCAGGACCTCCTCCAGCTCTGGGATCGTGACCCATGTGTGCATACCCTTTGGTCTCATCTACAGCTGAGCCCTGCTCTGGGCCCAACCCTCACGATGCTCACTGCTGGGGAAGATTGGCTGCCAGATTGACAAAGACATTGTGGTGTGACCATTGCTGGACTGAAAGTGTGGGGTGCAGGGGAGACTGTAGCTGCCCCTCCAGGGAGGGTGGTGGTTGCAGCCTGGGGGACTTTACGGGACACTGGGTGTCCTGGTTAAATGTGTGGCCTCAATTCAAATCCTAGTCCTTTAGCAGCTGAGTAAGAGACTGAGCAGAGTAAGAGACAGACACAAATCCACTGTTATCAGTTGTTTCCAACTCAGCCTGTAGGACGGTGTTGTGCTGCCTCATATGTCACGTTGGAATCAGATCTTCAGGCCTAACTTCGAGATACCTCTGAGTGGAATGGAACCGTTAACTGTCAGCCTGGTGCCCGGCACAAACCTGGTAGAGGTGCAGCGGGGACTGATCATTTGGCCACATGTTTCCATATGGAAACAGGATTTTTCCATGCCCTGGGGAACCCCAGCTGCCCTTGTCTCCTCTCCGGGACACCAGGCTCCAAGCTTGCCTGTGTCCTCACAGCGGTGGGGTTGGGATGCGCCAGCCAGAGCCAGGCTGATGCTGGCAAAGGCCTGTGTTTGGGGACTAAACCTGTTCAGTAGGTGGCCAGCAAGGCCTGGTTCCACCCAGTGGCCCTGTTTTGTGGGTACAGAAAGACATGGTGGTGTGGTCAGGAGCCAACTGCCCAGCCTTGCTCTCAGTGGGGATCATAACCTCGGATACAGGTGGACCTAGGAGCGTCTTCCTTTAGCTGGGGGCCAGCATCTGGCATATGTGTGCAGACCCCCACTCTCCCCTCACTGCTTTACTCAGGTGGTTCACTTGGTGCAGCTCGGTTTCTCCCTCCCCTTCATTTCAGGGCATTTTTAGCTCCTTGTTCCAGGTCAGCGCTCTGCCCGGGGCAGATGCCAATCAGCAAGAGCAGGGAACTCGTTTCCAAAGCTGGCTCCTTTTCCTGTTGCTTCTGCCCTTTCTCGAATGTGGAGCGCCTGGGGGAAGGTTGGAATTGTTGGGAGTTGTTGATGGCCCAGAATCGGGGTGCAGATGGGACCTATCCAGCAGCCTTGGGTACTGGCTCTTATTCAGGATAGCCCCTGCTAGGGGATAATTGAAGGTCTCAGTGGCTCTGGGAGTGGACGCTGGAGAGTGGTCGGCAGCTGGAAGAGGAAGGTACCCCAGCTTGGTGCTTCTCCATCACTGAAGTGCTTTCTTCATTTCCAGTCCATTTCCGCTACGTGGTGTTCCACCCGTTCCTGGATGAGGTTCTGATTGGGAAGATCAAAGGCTGCAGCCCTGAAGGGGTACATGGTAAGGTAGCCCCACTTCTCAGCCTCCTGAGCATATCCAGTGGGTGGTGGGCCTCCCTTCCGGCCTGGGGTCAGCCACAGAACTAACCCTCTCTGAGAAGCTCACTCTCTGCCTTGGTGTATGGGCTGAGGACTTCGGCCAGCTGTGCAGCGTCTCTGGACCTCAGGGTAGGCAGGTAGCTGGTGGCAGTGATTTGAGGTCCTTAGAGCCCACTGGTCCCTGTGGTGTGCGGTGTCTACCTCACATGTTGGTGACCAGGGCAGCAGTGGCATGGACAGGGCTTGGGGGCTCAGAGACCTTTGGTGACACCCCCTCCTGTGGACAGCACAGGACAAGCGGTGAGGCCTGCTGAGTACTAGACCTCTCGGTGTGTGACTGCCCATTGCGTGTCCCGCCTTGTGCATCACCATCTTCTCTTTCCCAGTCTCTCTCGGGTTCTTTGATGACATTCTCATTCCTCCGGAGTCACTGCAGCAGCCAGCCAAGTTGTATCCTGCTATGTTATATATGAACAGGTTGAAGGGGCACAGGAGCTCGGCCCTCACGTTGGGTGACCAGTGGTACCGAGCCCATGCCCTGGCCTACCCCTCCAGCCTGTTTATGCCTCCGACATTGCCCAGTGTCCACATGTCTGTCAGAGTGACCCGGTTTGGGCCATAGGGCTCTGTCCCTTCCTGCTGTATCTTCCCCTGGGGGCTTTGCCTGGCACACCTGTTCCCAGCTCCCGGGGCTGTTTCCTTCCCCTGGGCTCCCGTTTTGTCCACTCCAGCCATCACCCTGCTGCTCTGGGGTTCCTGGAGTCCTCACTAGGAGGGACCCCAGTATCTACCATGTCCAGCCCGGCACTCAGGCAAGACTGAACTGAAAAAGCCTCTGGTGGCTGACAGGACCCACCAGTGAGACAGCCAGCAGAGGGCAGTGTGGCTCCTTAGTGTGGTTCCTGGGTCGGAGGCAGGGTCTGTATGTGACCTTGACTCTGGGCTTTAGTCCTGGTGAGCTCCAGTGAGAACTGGGAAAGGGCTTGTGCCTGCCTCCTGGGATGGTCACGTGGACTGGGCGTGTGATGAGGCATAATGGGTGTGAAACTGTATTATGTGAGGAAAGCAGCAGCTACCAGGCCTGAGTGTGTCCTGTGGAAAGCACTTTGTTTTGCTTTAGTTAACAATGACCCTGGTAGATTTGTTACAGCCACTCCTTTGCAGATGGGGACACTTAGGAACAGAAAAGTTGGGCCATCCTTGTACCCAGTCACAGGGCTGGTGGGTGGTAGCTGAATCCTGAGAGCAGGCCTGGTGCTCTGATGTGCTGAGGGTGCTGTGTGCTCGCCTGGCTCCCAGCCCCTGAGCACCTGCTCGTCGCTTCAGTCCTTGTTTGTACACGTGGGGCCAGAGCCTCTTGCCTGTAACTTCCCCTCTAGTGGTGCACACCTGGAATGAGTTTGTCCCCGGGGAGGTGCAGTACAGCCTTGGAGGGAATCTGGGAGCCACAACAGAGCTCCCAGAAGGCTCAGCGGTGTCCCCACAGCCTGGTTGTTGCCTTGACCCTGGGTCCTTCCAGCGACGAGGCAGAGCAGGTGTGGGTGTGGGAATATGAGACAGAGGAAGGCGCACACGACCTGTATATGGACACCAGCGAGGAGATCCGCTTCCGGGTGGTGGATGAGAGCTTTGTGGACACGTCTCCCACCGGGCCCAGCGCAGCTGAGGCCACCTCGTCCAGCGAGGAGCTGCCCAGGAAGGAGGCGCCATACACGCTTGTGGTGAGATGTTTGGGTGTTGGAAGAGGCTGGGAGTGTTGACTTGGGGTTCTGCTCCCAGAGCCCCTCCCCAGCAGTCCTGGTAGTGTGTTTTTAGCTGGGCACCTGCTCTTGCTGTGACAAGCTGCCACGCTGTTGGGTAACAGACCCTTGCCTGTAATCCAGGACAGCCAGAGCTGGATATCCGGAAGCAGGGACAGGGCTGGAAGGGTTGAACCTGGTTGGGGAAGGCTTTAGGGGCGAGTGAACCACAGAGCTGCTCCGACAGGTGGGGCTGCTCTGGCTGAAGGGTGCTGGATGGCTGGGGTCTGCTTTGCTTCTTACCCTCATGAAGCTGGTAACATATAGGAAAATGGGACTCTGGGGTCTGAGCCTCACAGGACCAGACCCTGGTGGTTTGGGTAGGCTTGCCTGGGCCTGGCCTGCTAGGTATTAACAGGTATGAAAGGGTGTCCGACTCCAACTTGAGCCCATGGAACTGGGTCTAGGCAGCTGGTAAACCTGTACCTCCTTACAGGAGTTTCAGTAGAGGTTGGGGTACAAGAGGTGAGTGGGCTGTGTGTGCTGCCCCGATGCCCCTCCCACACTGGCTCCACCCTGCCTGTGGACAAATTGTGTCTGTTCTCTCCACCTGCCAGGGGTCCATTAGCGAGCCAGGACTGGGCCTTCTCTCCTGGTGGACCAGCAACTAGCCCTGGAGCTGACCACGGACCCTGTCTAGTCCAGTAGACCCAGCAGCTCGGGAAGACAAGCAGCAGCTGAGGCCAATGCCAGGACTGTTGGCAGCTCGGCCTGTCTTCCCGGCTCTGCTCCTTCCCAGGAGGCTGCCCACCCTGGATGTCTGACTTATGACAACAAAGACGTTTAATAAATAATGACCACACCAGTGGGGAAGGGCCAGTGTCAGGATTGAAGGTCATTGAGTTGCTGCAGCAGGGACAGCATGTCCCCAGGTCACTTCTGGGTATGGTCCCCCATTTCCGAAAGAGCAGCAAGCGGCCCTGGATGCCTCAGGCTGGGCTTTGGGCTGACCCACATGGTCAGGAGTAAGGCTGGCCCAAGGGAGCTGTTGGTTGCTGAGGGGTCTGTCCGCTAGGTAGGGGCATAGCATTTGGAGGTGAGACAGGGGAGCTCTGACCTTAGCCAAACCAGCCCCTCATCAAGACCAGGGAGACTGTGCAGTGGACTGGCCTAAGGAGGGGGCAGTGACCACACGTAACTACCCCTACACCAGCTGTCACCCTCAGCTTCTGCCTGGAGTGCTGTTTGTGCATTCAGCAAGTGTCCTGGCCCAGCTTCCTCCAACTCCTTCTGCCAGGCCTGGAGGCCCATCTGGTAGCAGGTCTTCCGGTCACATCGGGGCTGCCTCCTGCTCAACCCAGAAACAGCAAGTAGAGGTGCTGGGCAGGGTCAGCTGGCACCACCCTGGGCAAGAGGAACAGCTCAGCGACAGGACAACGGGGTGTGCTAGCTGTGACCCAGGGCCTCCCTTTGGGGGCTGAGTGGGACATACTGGTGCTTAGGTAGCCTGGTACAGAAGCTGGGCCACAGCACTCTTTGAGGAGGGTGAACGAAGGCTTTCGACCTGGAAGACTGCACTGGACCCTTAGCCAGGGAAGTAGACGGACCCGGGTGGGGGTCAGAGTGGGTTAGGGCAGGGAGGGGAAGCCGCTGCCTGTCTCCTTGGTTCCAGTGCCCACCTGGGCCATGCAGGGAATGGGGGTCGCTGCCTGACTGTCTCCCTGGTGTCAGTGCCCACCTGGGCCATGCAGGGCCACCCCGGCGCTGGTACAGACCAAGCACACACAGTAGTAGTCACTGAATTGATCATTTTTTTTAAGAACAAAAGGTTCTCTCAAGTCCTTCAGCCACCAGTGAAATGATCAGGCAGGAGAAAAACCTCTGAAGATGGGTGTCTGGTCATCAGGAATAAATAGAGTGCACAGAACTGCTCAAGATCAGAACCAAACTAGAACTGGGAAGGCAGGGTGGTGACACCCAGTCTGGTAACTCAGTGGGCTGAGGAGGGGCGGGCAGGAGTGTCTGGTCACGCTGTCTGGGACAGGACTCTGTGGCTGGCTCGGCTCCGGTTCTGATGACACGCAGACTGCACTTGTAAATGACACGGAGCTGGGTCTGAGGCAGCAGGCAGGCGGGCACCTCAGTGCTGCAGCTCCTTCATCCTGTTCAGCGCGCTGCCGGCCCGGAACCACTCGATCTGGGTCTCGTTGAAGGTGTGGTTCAGGACGATCGTCTCCTGGGTCCCGTTGGGGTGTTTGATGACACATTTCAAGGGCTGTGAGGTAGGGAGGCAGGTGTGGGTAGGCCTGCTAGAGTCAGGAGCACCCAAGGGCGAGTGCAGTGGCCAACAGGGCCCAGGTCGGATGGGCTGCTGGCCCTGAGCCAGGCCCTGCCAGTGAGTGGGCAGGGGAGGGCCTGGTGGGTCTGCCCTCCATGAGGGCACTTCCTTCCCTGTCCTGGACTCTCAGGGACTCCCTAGCTGGTACAGAGGGGGTCAAGCAGGAGGAGGGTGTCTGCCCCCTAACAGTGCCCAGGGGATTGGGGAGGTGGCCTACCCTGCCTGCCTTCCAGCCCCGACCCCCTGACCTTGCCCGGGGCAAAGTCCTTCAGGCCTTGGATGGTCAGCTTGTCCACGGGGTGGATCTTGTTGTAGTCAGCTGGGTCGGCGAAGGTGAGGGGCAGTAGGCCCTGCTTCTTCAGGTTGGTTTCTGGGAAGGCATGCTCAGTGGTCAGGGGTGCGACCCCTCTGCCTGTTGTCCCTCACCCAAGGTCTGCCCCACTCCCAGTGACAGAGAAAGGATCAGGTTGTGCTAGTGAGGGCATCTCCATGAGGCAGTTACCGTCAGACTGTGTCCAGGGGTCAGTGCTTGCCCTGGGTGGGAAGCAGTGGGGGGGTTCGGGGACTCAGGACACTAGGGCCAGGACAGTCCAGGCTGTCAGGGACGGAGGGGATTGGATGGGCAGGCCCAGCTCACCATGGATCCTGGCGAAACTCTTGGTGATGATGGCCCGGCCCCCCAGGTGGCGGGGCTCTAGCGCTGCATGTTCACGGCTCGAACCTTCACCATAGTTCTCATCTCCAATCACCACCCACCTGATGCCGTGTTTCTGCCGGATGAGCGGGGTAGGAAGTGACAAGGGAGAGAGGACTTTTCTTTCTCTACTTTTCCAGGGCAGATGACAACAGAATGCCCAGTCAAGCATGGCTCTACATAGCCCAGAGGGCGCCAGGACCCACCCATGATGCTCAGCGTGTTAGCGGGCATGGTGGGCAGGGTGGCAGGCAACTAAGCCAAGCCATGAATGGAAAGAAAGAAACCCTGCCAGCCTGGGAGGCTGACGGACAGCTCTCCACCATGGGGCACCCCTCTAGCCCAGCCCGGGAGGCTGACGGACAGCTCTCCACCATGGGGCACCCCTCTAGCCCAGCCCGGGAAGCTGATGGACAGCGCTCCACCATGGGGCACCCCTCTAGCCCAGCCCGGGAGGCTGACGGACAGCGCTCCACCATGGCAAACCTCTCTACCCCTCCGGCCCACTGAGTCCCAGGCTTTGGGTTTTAGCCCTGGTTCTGGGAGTTTCTCAAAATAAATCCAACGGCCTGGGATGCTAGCAGCCTGTCGGTGCCTCCACCCCTTGCTTCCCTATCTGGGCTGCATTCTGTCTTTGACCCTTCCCTCCCTCTCCTGTAAGGTCCCCTCCTCTAATCCTCTCTTGGTCTAGGGCCACGTGTGGGAGCTCCTTCCAGTTGAGTGGGCCGGCCTCCTCCCCCAGCACTGTCAGCCCACCTTGTAGTAGCGTGCAGTGTCAGGGACAGGCCCAAACTCCTGGGTGACGGCATTGCGTACAGAGTTGGCCTTGTCATTTTCAATGTTGATGGCACCAATGAGTAAGTTGTTGGAGATGTTGTCCAGGTGCCCACGGAACTTGAGCCACGGGCCAGCAGCCGAGATGTGGTCAGTGGTGCACTTCCCTTTGACCTAAGGGATGAGTGGAGGACAGAGGTCAGGGGTTGGCCTCTAGAGTCAGACAGCAGGCCCTGGGATGAGAAGCCACCTGCTCGGCCCCACAGGCCATGTGGGCTCAGGTGCTCAGCAAGATCTCCAGGACAAGGTGACCCCTCACAGGACCGGGCACTCAGCAGAGGCACAGGCTGGCTGGGGAAGACTCAGTACTTGATTGCTCCCCTGCCCTGCAGCCCAGCTCAGAAATAGCCAAACTGCAAGGTCAGCCACAGACTCCATGGCAGATGCAGAAGAGCCAGATGGCAGGAACATCACTGCGTCTCGTCTGCCAAGAGTGCCTGGAGACCCGCTTGCAACAGCTTGTATTCGTGTTTGAAGTGGGTCTGAGGTCTCTGGCCACACCATACAGGCAGGTGTCTGCTTGGCTCCTCAACAGGCCACACTTTAGTCCGATTGTAGCAACCTAAGACCCTGACTCCTGAAGTCTGCTGAATGCCCTCAGCCCACCCACCCTTCCTGCCCCACCTGAGCTGTGCTTACACCGGCCCACCTCTTACAGTGTTCCAGCTGCCACTGAGTGCCGATAGCTCAGACTGCAGTGGGCCATGGAGCCGGGTCTAGAGAACACTGGCTGGGGTGCCCTCGCCTGTGCAGCCCCGCACACCCCTCCCCACTCCTGCGAGGTCCCCGTGCCCACCCCACCTTGATGAGGATTTGCAGGTCCTCCAGGTCTTTGCCGTCCCACTTGTCAAAAGGCTCCAGGAGCTGCAGGCGCTGGCTGGTGGGGCTCACGTCCACCCGCTGTCCACTGCTGTCTTTAGGAGGGTGCTGGTAGGTGTCCTGTCCGGGGTCAAACTCCTGCAGCAGGGACAGGGATGTACTGAATGTGTGCTCTTCAGCCCCTTATGTGGGTGGGCTCTCTTGGGAGGAAAGCTCCTGACATCCCACCCTTCCCTCACGGTCTCCCTCAGCAGCACCCTCCCTGCCCACACAGCAGTCAGCAGCGGCGGCCTCCAGCTCACCGCCTGGGGAAGCTCATCTGCATCCGGGGCCTCCAGCTTGAACTTCTTGCCGTCCTTGCCAGTCAGGAAGTCAGTCTCTGGGTTGAATTTGAGGGTGCCGGCGATGGTCAGGGCTGTGACAATCTAAAGCGGAGCGGCCGGTTTGCTGGTCAGCACCAAACACCACTCCTACCCCCACCACCCAGAGGCCCAGACCAAACACGGACATGGTGCTGCGGATATTCCCAAGTCGTCCACTTCTGTGAGAAGGGAGACCACGGGTCTATAGGCCGAGCTCACGAATCAGAGGGTCAATGGATGGCAGAGATGGGTAGGACATCTAGACAGAGTGTTAGGGGGACAGAAATGCTGCCACATGAACAGCACACTGGATATACGGATGGGCCATTTTGCATTGTTGAGAGTGGCCATGTGTCCCAGTTGTACTTCCAGTTACCATGACCAGGCTTACAATCGCCTTACCCAGGACAAACCTCAGTCCTCCCAACCATGAACATGGTGAGGTCACTTCCCTTCCCAGTGTTCAGTGAAGGGGAGAGTCTGGAGCCTACACTTAAACATGAACTCTCTGACTCGGACATGATCTGGGCATGCTCAGGAATGTCACTCAGATAACCCCTGCCCTGTGATGCCCATGCCCTTTAGCTGCTGTAGGGTCAGACACTTTTGCCTGGGCGCCAACTCCTCCTGCCTCCCCTGACCTGCCTGACTGGACAGCCTCACCTCCGGGGATGTGACAAAGGCATGGGTCTCAGGGTTGGCATCATTGCGGCCGGTGAAGTTCCGGTTGTAGGAGGTGACAATCGTGTTCTTCTCCCCCTTCTTGATGTCTTTTCTGCCAGGTTGGAGGGGACAGGGTTAGGGATGTTTGGCCTTGCCACCTACCCTCTCCTGTGGCCCGACAGACCAGGTTCCTGGGACACATTGCTACCTCATGACAGAGGAGGGGAAATGAAAGGACCTCAGAGAAATGTCCCTTCCCTGGGACTCACAAATGGGGGATGGGGCTAGAGAGCCAGCAGGGACAGGCCTGCCCTGCCAGCTTCCTAGCCCCCATGATCCCTGCCCCACCTCAACCACCTCCCTCCAGAGAGCCCGTCTGAGCCACTGGCCAGCCTTCTGCCTTCCCAGGTTCCAGCTGTGAGGCTGCTCTTTCCTCCAGCCCAACGTCCAAGTCATGCCTGGGTGTGAGCCTCTTCTCTTCACCCCAGTATTATCTCCCCCAACAGCTGGAGCTCCACACCAAAAGGAACCCCTCACCTGTCCCACTGGCCAATACAGGGACCACAGGCATTGGCCAGGACGATGCCACCCACGTCCCGCAGGGTCTTGGCCTGCAGGGAGAGTAATGGACATAGTGGTCAGGGGTGGGCAAGGCGCTGATGGGAGAGGATGGCTCAGCAGCTTGAACCCAGGGCAGCTGTTGACCTACAGTGACCCCAGGCGTGAGGAGCTGTGGCTTGTTCCACCCAGAAGTCACTCTACTCAGTGGTGGTGGGGTGGCCAGGGGACCCAGGACACTCACATAGCCATCTCGTTCAATGGTGGCACGGATCTGCTCAGAGCCCGGCGTGATGGTAAACTGGGACTTGCATTTGAGCCCATGGGCCAACGCCTGTTTGGCCACAGCTGCCGAGCGCCCCATGTCTTCATAACTTGAGTTGGTGCAGCTGCCAATCAGACCTGGTGCATTGTGGGTGGCAGGGTCAGGAGGAGGGAGGAGACTGTGCCCAGAGGACTCCACCCAACCTCATCCTATCCAGACCTGGTCAAAGGGGTCCACCAACTGTGCAGGGTCAAAGATGGGTTTTAGCCGAGAAAAGCTGGCGGCAATGTAAAGATCCAACAACAAAGGACAGCAGTTTGAGGACGAGATAGTAGCCATTGAACTTGACTCTGAACAACAATGTTAACAGTTGGACCCAGGCTTCCACTGAAACAGCAGGGCCACCCCTGCTGGCTGAAACTTACAGTAGGTGCTAGTTTACCAATTTTAGACTTTTGAGTATCCTCTGATTTTTATTGTTGCATAATTGGGAGGGGGGGGTTCTTTTTTAAAAGTTCACCTAAGTGTTTTAAAAAGTCAATTAAAAACTACTTTCTACCAATATCAAGAGCGTCACCTATCAATTCCGTGTTTTTTCTCAAATTATTAAAAACCACAAAGTTTATCATTTATTTCAAATGCCATACTGCATTGGGCAAATCTGCTACATACGAATTCTCTTTTTAAAAGGTTCAAGAGCAAACATGTCAGTTTGAGGACTAAGGTGTACATGACACAGGCATGGCATTTCTAACAATCTCACATGCATGTGAAAGGTGGACAATGAATAATGAAGACCATAAAAGAATTGATGCATTTGAATTATGGTATTGTACAATATTAAAAGTACCATGGCTCACCAAAAGAACAAACCAATTTGTGTTGGAAGAAGTGCAGCCAGAACGCTCCTTAGAAGCCAGGATGGCCAGACTTTGCCTCTCATACTTTGGATATGTTATCAGGAGGGACCAGTCCATGGAGAAGGACATCATGCTTAGTAAAGTGTAGGGTCAGCGAAACAGACCCCCATCGAGATGGAATGGCACAGTGGCAGCAGTAATGGGCTCAGGCATAGCAATGATTGTGAGGTGGGCGCTGGACCAGGCAGTGCTCTGTTGTGTTGTGCATAAATAAGGTCACTATGTTGTTGTTGTTAAGGTCTGTTGAGTTGGTTCTGACTCAGCGACCCTGTATAGCGTTTCCAAGGAGCAGCTGGTGAGTTTGAGCTACTGACCTTGCAGTTTAAACCAACCTTGAGGTCAAGGGCTTATCCTATAGCACCACACCAGGACTCCATGAGTCGGTACTAACTCGATGGCGCCTAACAACAACAACAACAAGTAGTAAACACTTACTGTGCCCATTTTACAGATGGGAAGCAGGCACAGGAGGTTTAGTAACTTGCTCTGAACCACACAGCTCTCTCAAATAGCACATGTTGGCTATATTAACATGCCAGCATGGCTGTACACATAAATCCTGTACAAATGTGGTCTGTACAGAGGTATGGTTGGTCTGATGACATGTTGTAGGACAGAAACATATACACTAAACGTGCATACAAAAAAGCAGATTCTCTCTCTAAATATTCCTCCTGGAGCTTGTTTCGGGGAGAGGAGGGCGCTAAGATTAAACCAAACATACTAAATCCACTACTAACAAGTCAGTTTCAACTCAACACGACCCAACATGACAGAGCAAACCTGCTTCACAGGGTGTCCTTTATGGAGTAGTCAGCCTCATTTTCTCCCATGGAGCGGCTGGTGGGCTTGAACTGCCAAGCTTATGGTTAGTAGCAGCCAAACACTTAACTCAATGCCCCACCAGGGCTCCTTAGGGTCACACTGCCATCAAGTCAAGGAGCTCTGGTGGTGTAGTGGGTTCTGTTGGACTGCTAATGACTAAGTGGGTGGTTCAAACCCACCAGCCATTCTACTGGAGAAAGATGAGGCTATCTACTCTGGTAAAGGTTTACAGTCTTAGAAACCCCACGGGCCGTTTCTACTGTCCAAAGAAAGGGTCACTATGAGTAAAGCTCAATGGCCATCCACCCACAAAGTGAACTCCCACTTACAGGGCTCTATACACTATTTCCGAGGCTGACAATCTTTACAGAAGCTATCTCATCTTTGTTCTGCAGAGCAGCTGGTGGGCTTGAACTGTTGACCTTGAAAGTTACCAACCCAACCCCCTAACCTACAGTGCTCCTGGGGCTCCTTTGGGTTCCAACTCACAGCAACCCTATATAGGGTTTCCAAGGCTGTAAATGTTTGTGGGAACAGAAAACCTCATCTTTCTCCCAAGGGTTTAGATTGTTGTTTGTTATCGAATAGGTTCCAACTCAAAGCGAACCTGTACAGGGTTTTTGAAGAGCAGCTGGTGGGTTCAAACCAGCAACCTTAGGTTAGCAGTCCAGTGCTTATCCTATAGCACCACACCAGAACTCCAAGGGATGCAATTGTTGTTATTAAGTGCCATCGAGTTGATTCAAGGAGAGGCTGATGAGTTTGAACCACTAACCTTGTGGTTCAAACCTGACTCACAGTCCAGTGCCTACCCTACAGTGCCACACCAGGACTGCAAGGGATCAAATTAGGAGGGTTTAAATTCTTGCTCTGGTAGCGTAGTGGTTACGAATCGGGCTGCGAACCTTAAGGTCAGCGGTTCGAAACTACCAGCCACTCCGCGGGAGAAAGATGAGGCTTTCTACTCCCGTAAAGATTTACACCCTTGGAAACCCTGTACAGGGTCGCTATGGGTCGGACCCGACTCGATGGCACTTAACAACAACAACAACAACAAATTCTTGCTAGCTGCTAGTCTCCGGTCAGCAAAGATGCCTTCTACACCTGAACACTCACCCACACGGATGTCCAGGGGCCACCCTTCCTTCTCAGCCACATTACCCACATCAGCCACAGGGTGGGCCAGGTCAGGTGTGAAGGGTCCGTTGATGTGTGGTCTCAGCTGAGGAAACAAAGACACGAGGTGAGTCAGGAGCATGCCAGCATCAGTCCTGGTGCCTGGTTGTCACTCGCTGAGTCCCTGGGAGGCCCTGGGAGACCAGCTTCTGCTGTCAGGACCCAGCCTTCCTCCCGGAAGCCCAGTACAAGTGCCAATGTCAGGACCCTGACTCTGCACCCCTAGGAGCTGAGCTCAAGGTCTTGGAGTATGGAGATGGCAGAGACAGGTGAAGAATCCAAGATGTCTGCTCCCTAAGTCGATCACCTCCACACGACACTGCCTTTGCATCTTGCCGGATGCTTCATGTGTGCTCATAAAACCCTAACAAAGCTACACCTGTGGCCATCCAGTCGATTCCGATACTCACAGACTCACAGGAGCCCGACAGAGTAGAGGTCTTCCAAGGTTGTAAAACGTTTTTTTTTTTGAATTGTGGTTTGGGTGACAATACAGAGCAGTTTGTTTTCCACTAGACAATTTCCATGCCTTTTGTTTGGTGACATTAGTTGTAATCCTCTCTTTCCTGCCTTCTTGGTTTCTGGGCAAACACTGCTCTTTAGGACTCACAAGGTTGACTGTCGTGAGGAGCACATTCCGCACGGACACGGTTGCTCACTTACTAGGTCTGCAGTTTGGTGGAAAGGTGATTCTGGGGGTGTGCACAGCTCCAGGCATGGAGGGTGTCTATCAGCCACAGTTCCCGAAGAAAGCTAGAAAACTTTATGGAAGCAGACTGCCGCCACAGCTTACCCCGTGGAGAAGCTGAGAGATTGAAAATGCTAACCGTTAAGCTGAGTGCTTAACCACTGTAGTATACCAGGGCCTTCCTGCGCTCATAGTTATAGAAATCAATGTGAACCACAGCTAAAGTGCTGGCACACAATAAGTATCCAGCGAATGTCAGCAATGATTATTCATGAACGGACTTCACTAAATTCCCACAAGCACTTGGTTTTACAGATGATGCTGTGAGGCCTGCAGAGGTTAAGTGGCAAAGCTGGGATTTGAACCAAGGCAGACCAGCTTCAGGGCCCAAGGCCTGGACCACTCTGCTCGGCTGTTTCTGTTCCTCTAGCCTGCCTTTCTCCTGGTCTTCCTACGCTTGCTCTGGCCTGTTCAGTCCTCTGGGTGGGCAATGAGCTGACACCAATGCAAACCCTCCAGGGCCAATCTGGACTTGGTGTAGCTGACACGGGGTAAAATGACCATTTGTCAGCTAGGCATCCCTAGCCCGTGTCTGGCAACAGTTTGTGGGGCTACTGGGTATCAGAGGCCTAAGAACCTGCTAGCTATGCAGCCAGGGACCCACCCCAATCCTCCCAAAGGCAGAGAGCCAGCGACCACTAGAAGTCCCCAGGTGAGGCCTGAACTCACCACCCTCACATACCCTGGAACCCAGTTCCCTTCCTCACCTCGCTGAGGTTAATTTCAACCACCTGGTCATAATGGCAGCCAGGGTCAGGTACCAAGTGATCCTTGAATTCCTCAGCGATTTTGGCAATTTCTGAAATGGACACGGGAAGGGAGCAGCACATGAACAGAAAGTGGTCTTAACAGTCTGTTGAATCCACCATCCACCTAGCCAGTCATCACCCAGCACCTGCCAGAGGCCAGGCACTGAGCACTGACTGACAGGGTAAACTAAGGAATAAGACAGCACAGAACACTGTCCCGGCCCCAAGGAGCTCCCAGTGACACAGAAATTCAGGGATCCAGAGAAGTCCCTGGTGAGGTCAGAGCTGAACTGTGAAGGAGGGGAAGTTACTTAGTAAGCAGGAAGAGAACCCATGGGCTCAGAGGTTGGGAGCAATCGGACAAATTCTCCCAGGCCCCAGCCTCTGGCTTCAGTTCCCTCCACAGGTGCCCAGGATCCCTCCTGTAGACCCTGCTTCCTCCTCCAAGGCTTAAAGAAGTCAAGCTATCAAAATAGTAAAAAAAATAAAAAAAAGAACTGGTCAGACAAAGGCTGGTGGAACCCCACGGGTCTGGCCCTGGGTCACTCTTCAGGTCTGGAACTGAACTTACCCCCACATGGCTCAATTTTCAGCCAAGCATTACATAGGTAAATGGGGGGCTGGGGGTGCATAACACTAGTGAGGAAAGCACACCATAGAAAGTTCAACTCTTCGAGGGCAGCATTTACCCAAGGTCAAAGTTCAGAAGGGCTGGGAAAGGAGGAAAGATGGGAATGAGCTGCAGAGAGGAAGGGGGCTAAGAGATGTTACGCTGAGGGGACTTCAAGCACTGAGACGAAATGAAGGGTACCATTCGTTGGATGTACAACAGATGATCTGTTCTGTAAGCCTTCATTCAATTCACAATCAAGTTAAAATTACAAAGAAACCAAGCTAGAACCTCCTTCGGAAGGTGGGAGGTGCTGGGAGAGTGTCCCTCTCTTCCTTCATGGCACGAATTAGAACCAGAAGCAGCTCCAGGTCATCTCTGAAGTTTCCTGTAGGGGGGGTAGCAGGGACCAGGCCAAGAGACTGGCATCCAGCTACCCTCCCAGGTCAAACTCCAATTCCTTCCTGAGGCAGGATTCCAATCCTCAAACTCAAGAGGTCAGGCCCCCTGAAGAAGCCAAGGAAGGCCGCAGGCACCCTATTCAGAAACAAGCACCCATGCAGAACTTTCCATCCACCTCCAGTGGCTTACTGGCCCCTCAGCAGTCAGTCTAGAGACACTGGGTTAGGGGGTGCAGTGTCTGCTCAGGGCCCCCCTGGGGAGGAGGAGCATGTGAGCCAACAGTTGGGAGCCCACAGTCTGGCCTGCCTGGCTCACCTGCCCGGCCGGTCTTGCTCAGGTACTTCTTCATCCTGTGATTGTACGGAAACACTGAGGTGGTGGCGCCGATCTCTGCACCCATGTTGCAGATTGTCGCCATGCCTACATGGAACATGTTTGGGAGTTAGGTCTGGCGCCCCCAAGCTGGTGTACACTCACACGGCCACCTCTGGACACAAGACACTCAACCCTGCAGCGCAAGGCTCTTCCTGGGAAGAGAGGCCTCAGGAGCCACACCAGACAGAGCAGAATGCCATCAGGTACCACAGGTTGTCCCCTGGCTCACACAGGTTCACGGTCATGCCATAGAGCAAATGTAGGTGCTCCTACAGCTCCTACTCAAGGGGAGTGAGTGAGGCTCTAACTCCAGCCAGGGGAAGCTTGGGGCTGACTTTCCCTCCCCACCACCTCCCTCCTGTCCTTTGTGTGAACCTCCTTTCAAATCATCCAAGGCAGTTCAGGATCATGGCCAGGGCCCAGCTGAAGATGCTCAGGCTCGGCCCTGGCTCTGTGTGGCCACAGGGAGGACTCCTGCTCTCCTGAGAGGGTTCTCAGTGCCTCATCCATCCAAGGCAGGACCTGAACCAGCCAATCTCCCCCTAGCTCCGAGTCTATGACTGGACTTCCTGGACTAGAAGGCTGGCCACGTCCTCACCAGACAAGTCCTCCCACATCCTCACCAGTGCAGGAGATGGAGTCAACGCCAGGCCCATGGTACTCCACAATGGCACCCGTGCCACCTTTCACTGTGAGGATGCCTGCCACCTTCAGGATCACATCTTTGGGGGAGGTCCAACCGGAGAGCGAGCCTGTCAGCTTCACACCAATCACCTGAGCAGAGGAGACAGACAACCATTAGAGGCCACAGCCAACTAGGGAGTCAAGGCCTCCACTCTCGGCAGGCCTTCTTTCTGCTAACACAGCCCTGACTCCTTCCCAGAGATCTGAGTCTGCCCATGGCCCTCAGAGTCTATGTCCATTCCACACATGTCCCCCAAATATGTCCTTCCATCCTTACCTTGGGGCACTTCAGCTCCCAGGGGATCCCAGCCATGACATCCACTGCATCAGCACCCCCGACTCCAATGCAGATGCCCCCCAGGCCGCCCCCATTGGGGGTGTGGGAGTCAGTGCCGATCAGAAGAACCCCAGGGTATGCATAGTTTTCCAAAATGATCTGAAAGAGAACCCAACATCTTAGGCTGGGAATCCCTCAACACAGAAGGGGAGACAGACCTAAACGGGGTCTACAAAGCTGCCCCACCCCTGGACACAGGATTTCAGTCATTCCTGGTAACTTCCCCAGCTGGGCTCAGTGGGCAGGGCTCCCTTGTGGCCAGGAAGGACCAGTGACTTGGAAGACAGCAGCCTGGGCTTGTGAACCGCTTTGACACCTCCTGAATATAGCACCGAGTGACCCAGGATTGTGAGACCCAGATGAACTGAGACAGGAGAATGTGCCCCATCACCTGCCAACATGCCTTGGGGGGTGGTCTGTGTAGGGTCTGGGTGTGCCCACCTGGCTTCTCACCCAGGGAGATGATTCTTTCAGACACTGGTTCCAGTCCCCACCAGGCACCCAACAAGCATGGGTACCCAATGGGAGTCCTGTGGTCGTGTGCTTCTCCACAGCTGGACTGAAGTGACTTGTTCACTGGTGTCCAAGTCTGACAAGTGGCAGAGCCCACACTTGAAGGCCCTGCTCTTCCCGCCGAGAGGAGCAGGCAGGAGGCCCGGTTGTCCCCTGCTGTCATTCACTGTACTCTGTGGGCCTGGGCAGCCTGGGCTGGCTGTGGTGTTCCCCTCACTGAGGTACACCCCCTAGCTGCAAAGATGCTGGCAGTGAGCCTTCCCCCTCAAACCCTGGGTAACAGAGGTAGTGGAGGGACAGACAGGGTCCGTACCCAAGTGTGGCCCTGCCTAGCACCTAGGTCCCTCTGAGGTCCTGGGCACATAGAGCTCTACCTACCCAGAAAGCCCACATCCTGGGCTCCTCCAGCTCTGGCTCCACCACCTATGAAAAGCTGTGGGACTTTGGGCAAGGTATGTCATTTCTCCAAACCAGTATCCTCACAAATAAATGACAGCTGATAACAGTGACTACCTTATCGATGAGGTCACGTGTATAGAGCACATGACAGTACCTGGTAAAGAGCATGAGCTGGGCATTTTTATGAATCTGAATTTTTATTTAGCATAAGTATGCAAGAGCCTTCATCTGAGGCTGTCAGATAGAGCACAAAAGAGCAGGATGGGACGAGCTTAATGAAGTGCTGAGAGCGGGTGAGGGGCAAGTGGGTTCCCAGAGTGTCACAGAAACTCCAGGGCCTGTGTCTAGCCAGGGCTCTCCTGAGGAGGGGTGCAGCTGCTGGGAAGACCAGGCCAACAAATAGCAAACAATCACTAACCGCATCGCTTCGCCAGCAGCCCTCCCTATACCCAGGTTTAAGACTAGTTCACCCGAGAGCTCCTCAAGATCATAAGAGGTCTGAGCCAAGAAGATGGAACGCAGTGTGGCACTCGGTACAGACCGTAAGTGTGCGCCCTGCCCAGGAGTGAGTGCCATAAAGATGCAGGCTGTGACGGGGTCTCACCATCGGCTGCGTGGGGCTGGGAGGACGAGGGTGAGAGGGGAGTGGATTTTAGGCTGGGACTAGGAAATCCCACTGTTCTCCACAGATGTACACTGAGGAGCGACCTTGTACTGGCCCAGAGAGGAACACATAGTCCTCCAACCCTGGGAAGTCACAGAAAGGTGAAGCTGAAGAGTTGGCTCCAAGGAACAAACAGATCTGGAGTTGGCTGCGCAGGTGGAGCCACCTGGAGGCTGGTCGGTCGTGTGTCTAAGGTGGAATGCGGAGCATCTGGGATGGGATGCTTTCACAACACAGGGCCATGTTGGTCCCAGCGGTCCGGACCCCCAGCCCTGCCACCTCAATCAAGCAGTCCTTCCTGGAAGGACATAGCTCTGAAGGGTAGAGCTCTGAGTGGGCAGCCTGGAAGCAGGGGGGTTGGATTATAGCCTGACTCAGCTCATCCTGAAGGAGGCCAGGAGCCAGGCCAGGCATGGGAGAAGGTGTGCACCCAAGAAAGGAGTGGAGGTAGGTTTTCACACCAGGATGTCCCACAAATTAAGTCAGTAGTTCAAAAACAAAGCAGCATCTCCATGGAGACACATGCAGACACACCTACTCCCAGGAAGTCCACCCTAGAGGACCCTGGAAGAAGAGCCCCCAGCTGACAAGGTCATACTCCCTGTGGTGCCTCCAATCCTATGTTACTGTTATTAAGTGCCGTGGAGTCAGTTCTGACTCATAGCGACCCTGTGTAGGGTTTCCAAGGAGCAGTTGGTGAGCTTGAACATCTGGCCTCGTAGTTTAAACTGACCTTGCAGTCCAGCACATTAGCCTGCAGTGCCACACTAGGATTCTTCCCCTAGCCTACTGTTGTTGTTATGTGCCATGGAGTCGGTTGTAACCCACAGTGACCCCGTATAAGGTTTCCGAGGAGTGGCTGGTGAACTTGAACTGCCATTCTTGCAGCTGAAATGACTTTGTGGTCCAGCGCATTAACCCACAGCTTCACACCAAGACTCCTCCCCCATCCTATAGAGATGCCCAAAGGAACCAGAACAGCTGTTAAGAGCACTGGAGGAGGGGCAGCCTGCCGGGGTACACATCCAGGCTTGGATGTCCTTGGGCAAGGAGAGTACCTTCTCTCTGCCTCAGTTTCTCCATCTGTAAAGCATGCACACTAAAGGCTGGTTACCTCATAGCATGTGGTGAATACTGAACGCATCAGTATTTTTAAGGTGCTCATAGTAGCTGACACATGGTAGTGGAAGTGTGCCGTGAAGTCAGTTCCCACTCATAGTGACCCTGCGTAGGGTTTCCAAGACTTTAAATCTTCCCAGGAGCAGAAAGGCTCATCTTTTTTGCGAGGAACAACTGGTAGATTCCAACTGCTGACCTTGAGGTTGGTAGCTCAACTCGCTACCACTACACTATCAGAGCTCCTTAGTGTGTCTGTCCATAGTATATACTTATCAAAGAAACGTTAGTCATCCTTATTACTGCAATGAAAAACGCAAGCTGAAGGAAATGAAGCCCTACTGAAAAGACTCCATACCGCATGACTCCAACTCTATGACGTTCTGGAAAAGGGAAGACCATAGTGACGGAGAATAGACCAGGGGTTGCCTGGCATTCAGGGGCAGAGATGGAGGACGGGTGAACAGATGGGACACAGGGCATTTTTAGGACAGTGAGATGATTCTGAATGACTCTGTCACGGTGGACACAAGGTATTTTGTCCTAACACTCAGGACTGTACAACACACAGAGGTGAGCAATGGACTTAGTTACAAGAATGTGTCACATGGTCTCAACAACAGCAGCACAAGCCACAGGAAGGGAAGATGTTAATAAGAGAAACTGGGCAGGGGGAAGGGGTGGATGGGAACTTAGCTTTCTGCATGATTTTTCTGTTAACCTAGAACTGCTCTACCAAATAAAAGCTATTTGAAAAACATAAAATACAAAAGGCAAGTTGTGGGACAAAAAGCACCAAGATTACCTTTAGGGACAAAAATCAAAAGAATCCAAAGGCCCACAGACGCTTGTGTATGTGCTTCCAAGAAAGTGGGGAGAGGAATTTGCAAAACCAAAAATGGGGGCTGCCTGGGGCGAGCCAGAGGGAGAACGAGAATGCTTAACATGACACATGGAGAAATTCATGAAAACTCAACGTTTCCCACACAGTGGGACACTGCTCAGCCATAAAGAGAAACGACGTCCTGAGGCCTGTCACGACATGGCTGAGCCTTGAAAGCAGGAGGCTGAGCAAATGCGCCTGTCTAAAAGGACAGACAGACAGTGCCTGACCACACAGAAAACCCAGCAATTATCTAGACACCAACGACGAGTAGTGGTTACTGGGGTAAGGTATGTGAATGGTAGTAGCAGGGCCGGGGAAAGGATAGAGAATCGGTAACACAAACTGAAGGACACTATCAATGTCATTGAATTATACACAAGGAACTGGTGAGATGGGGTCAGTTTTGTTAAAAGAAAAAAAAAAAAACCACCACCAGAAAACAACAGGCGGAAGAGCCAGAAGGCTGGCCGAGAGAGAGTCTTCTTGAGCCTGGCACACCGCACTTCCCACAGACTCAGCAGTGGACAGTGCTCTCTGGTTACCCAACTTTGGCCTGGGCCCTATTTTACCTGGTGAATGATTCCTGATCCAGGCTTCCAAAAGCCCACGCCATACTTGGCACCAGCAGTTGCCAGAAAATTATATACTTCCTGGTTTATGTCCTGTTGAGACAATCAATAATGACAGCATTAGAGACCTGTGTACGTTTGGGATGACCCTTGTTCATGGCTAGCCCTTTCCTCCCCCTCCCACCTCCATGACCCTTGAGCGCTGGCTCTGAGGACAGGCTGGCTCCAGAAGAACTTCTAAAAATAATTCTCGAGGGATGAGGGATGCTGGCCAGAGTCTCAACGGGCAGGAGAGAAAGGACAAGAAAGCAGACAGCCCAGCTGAAGGGCACCCATTGGGGGATACGCCCGTTGCTGCCTAGTCTGGCGTCTCCGTTTCCTTATGGAGCTGTAGAACGAGTTGGGCTGAACCACCAATAACCAGGTTCTTCAGAGAGTCAAGTCAGCAGGGGATAGCACATGGCCGCAGACTGACTATTGGGACACGATGCTGGGAGCCAGGGGGCAGCAAGCATTAAGAGAAGCAGTGAATCAGAGGGGACATCCCTGGTTCCTCCAGAGCTAACTGAGTTTGTTGTGTTCCATTTGAGCCTCGAGGCCTCAGCTGTCATAACTGCTGACATTTCTGGAACGCCCACTAGGCAACTGGCAAACTGGCATCACGCAAAACACCCTCACAACCCATCCTAGGAAGAAGGACCCTCATCAAGCCCATTCATTTACAGATGTGAATCAAACAAGTGCAGAGAAGCAAAGAGCTGAAGAGCCCAGAGTTCAACAGAGGAGCCAGGGTTTGATACCATAGCTGTCCAATCCCAGTGAACTCTGCCTAACATAAAATAGAACTTCCTTCGTCATGACGATGAGAAAGGAGTTAACAGAGAAGGTAGCACGTGGCTCCATAGGTGGTAACAGGCTTGATGAGAGCTGCCAATGAAAGACGACCCAATGCTCACCACTTTCCATCAGTGGTTTCCACAGAACACAACAAATCAATAGATAAGTTTAGAAACAGCTTCAGGAGTTGGGCTGGGCCTCACAGCATGGCTGATGTGAGGTCACATGACATGTCCTTGGCCAAGTATGACCCCGTGACAGGAAGCATGAGGGCCAGGAGAGTCGTGCCTCCCAGCGGAGAAGGGACCCTTGACACAGTACCTTCAAAACCAGCCAGCTCCCACTCAAATGCAGACTCACCACACATTCTTCTAACCCTCATGGGGCCCCAAGTAAAAGACTGGCAGACAGAGAAAAATGAGGGACTTGTGTAGATTGTTCAGGTCAGTCCCTTCTACAAATACATACTGAAACTTAGACTCACAGACCAAAGAATGACAAAGAGCAGCCTCTTTCCAATTAATAATGGATGTGCTGTGTTTTCATACAGCAGTCACGTGTGAATGAACTTGGCATTGAGGGCAGGAGGCATGTGTACACATGTGTCTCTGGGTAGGGGGAAGAAGAGGGACTCCATAGCAGACTCAGCCTGAAGCCCTCTAGGCTTTCTATGTCACTCGGCTTCTGTGGGCAGCCACCAAGGACTCCTCACAGGTGTAGGTAAACCTGACCACATCCCTCCCCACTTCTGGAAACCCCTTAGTGACCTGAGTTACTCCCAAGCATCACAGAGCCAGCAGGGCCCAACCTGCGCCACCCACCTAACCCCACCCTCTCTCACCCACACTGACTGACCCATTTCGACGCCACAACTGCTGCAAGTACCCTCCCACCTTGAGGCCTGTGTACATGCTGTTCTGCCTAGAATGTTCTTCCTCCAGTTAACGCCTCCTTGTTTGTTCAGTTTCTGTGTCACATCCTCAATTAGACCTCGTGGTTATACGCTCAGAGTCCCGCACATCCCCTCCCCTAGTATGCAGCCACACTGATCTATTGGTGTGAGTCTTGGGCATGTGGCCCCTACCCTATAAGACCCTGTCTGCCTGGTCCACACTGAGTGCTCAGTAAGTGCTGCTGAAGACACCACAGAATGAATCTCATCTCCAGAAGAAAATGACGGAAGGAGAGGGCCAGATCTGGCAGTGGTGGCCCCGCTGTGGGCAATCATCCCCAGGGTTGAAGGGGCCCAGGCTCCTAACCATGGCCAGGTCCTGACAGTGTAGGGACCCACTGCTAATGTGGAGATGCTGCCAGCAGGCTGGGCTCTCTGCAGCTGAGCAGGAAAGAGCATCTATGTAACCAGGAACCCGCACCGCCCAACTCCCGTACAGATGAGAATGCCGCCCGGCGTGTTTCCCAGGGGTCTGGGAAGCTTTGAGCTGGCTTGAACTTGGGGTCCAGAGCACTCTCAAGTATAGGTCCTGCCAGCATTCAGCCCATGCCAATGCCCCCTGCAACCATGGTGAGGCTGCCCACCCCCACTGCAGAGGACAAGGGGGAAGGGAGCCCAGGGCTGCCAGAGACTGGTTGCAGCCAACAGTCAGCACACACAAAGGCAGCATAGAGGCCGAGCTGGAAGCAGGGTTGGGCTTATTGGAAGGGTGGGGAATTGAGGGAAAAACATCTCCAGAGTGGGTCAATTAGCAAGAGAGCACAAAAGTAGGAGTTGGGGCCAGGGACGAGCCCTATTCATGTCCAACTGGTTGTGGGGCTTGATGGAAGGGTGCCACAGTGACTCCCTTGGGCCCTTGTACCTGACAAGAGTCCTCAGGAGGGCAGATGACGACCTGAGTGCACAGAAGACGGACTGCTCTAGGCAGAGAGGGAACTTCACCGACCCTCCCAGAGGGACAGGCAATATGTGTCATTTCCTAGTATAACAGGAATACCTTCAGTGTGGTAAGACTAAGAATGGTTTTATTTTCTGTCAGCTTGTCCTGTATTTTCTAAAGCCTTCTCAATGAGCAAACGGTATTTGCAGGATTGTTAAGTTGGTTCTAGCTCATAAAGACTGTGTAGTTTATGAGGAGCAACTGGAGAGTTTGACTCACCGACCTCTTGTGATTTAAACCTACCCTAGGTCGAGTGCTTATCTTACAGCACCACACAAGGACTCTATGTGTAGACTCAGAAGAAAACAAACCCATTAGGATCTGGAGGCAGTGTGTTAGGAGGCTCCCTTGTGAGGGACTGACCTCTCCTCCCGAGTCATCCCACCCTGACCCACTCCCAGCTCACCTTGGCGCGGCGTAGGTCTTTCTCGCCCCCAAGCTGGGCCTCAATCAGGTGGTCACAGTGGATAGTGGAGGGCACAGCCACCTTGGGCAGCCCACTGCTGATGAACTGCAGCATGGCCATCTGGGCCGTGGCGTCCTGCATGGCCACACGGTCTGGCCGCAGTCGCAGGTACGTCTTCCCCCTCTCAATCTCCTGGTTAGCCGGGTCATCCAGGTGGCCGTACACGATCTTCTCCGACAGGGTCAGAGGCCGGTTCAGTCTGAGGGGAGAGAGAGAAAGGGGTTGAAACCAGCTACTCCATCTGTCTACACAGCAACCTTGACGACTGGTCCTGGTCACTGTAGTTCGCCCAGCACACCTCAGGCGCTCAAGACTGAGTGACCAATAGGTAAATGACAACATCACAAGATATTGCTTGTCTGGCCTGTTAATGGCTCTCATTTGTGGAGCACTATTTATTATGTGTCTATCTGATCACTCACCCTCGGAAACCCTGTACAGGGTCGCTATGGGTCGGCTCCGACTCGAAGGCACTTAACAACAACAACAACAATCTGATCACTGAATGCTCATTGTATCCTCCTGTGCATAAAACAGCCAAGAAGAAATGGGAGTGGAGCTAAGTGATGTCATTGGCTCAAGTCTGCAACCTGGAGCCTAGACTTCCCTCGCCTGAAGCCCTCTCCCCAGGGCCCTAAGCCCCTCAGGTGCATGCTGTATAGCCTTCCCTCCACCTCAAGCGCTTGATGCCTTCACCGCTGCCTTACTAAGTGGAACCCCGCAGAGAAAAAGCCTTTCCCAAGGTCCCTTGCTCACTCCACCAAGAAGGTGTGATCGTCAGCTCTCAAAACCAGACACCCAGTCACTTTCTTCAGTGCTCATGGGTCCTCCCTGCTCTGTAGGCTCTCCCACTCCCTTCCTGATCACAAGGAGGTGCAGTCCTGCTAGGACTTAGCCACCCTTATTGCCCCAGCCTCTCACAGAGCATCTAGACTGAGCTCAGGGCAGGTCGACCCCCCACTACCCACCTTACAGTTTCCTGAGGGCTCCTTGCTGCTGTCATGTCCCTCCCACCTGGACTGAGCACCCAGTGCTGCTGCTTGCTGCAGCAATACCCCCTTCACAGTGTCCCCCCAGCAATACCGCCTTCATAGTGCCCCCTCCCTGCAGCAATACCGCCTTCACAGTGCCCCCTCCCTGCAGCAATACTGCCTTCACAGCGTCCCCCCCTGCAGCAATACACCC